GTCTTCGGCGCCTCTTGGCGGCCTCTGGGGCTTGTAGGAGCGTGCTGGGTGCCTTGGGAGAGCGTCTTCGGGCCTCTTGGGAGCCTCTTGGATGCCGTTTGGGGCGTCTTGGGCGCCTCTTGGCAGCTCCAGGGCCTTCCAGGAGCGTCGTGGGTGCCTCGGGGGAGCCTCTTGGGGCCTCTTGGGGGCCTCTTGGGGGCATTTTGGGGGCCTCTTGGAGGCCTCTTGGGGCCTCTTGGGGCTCTTTGGGAGGGGTCTGGGAGGAATCTTGGGGCAATCTGCCGGGCGATCGATCACAGATGGGGCGAGCGCCTTTCTTCCCCCCCCCGTCGGGGCCAGAATCCTCGTGAGAGGTGTCGAATTTTAGCCCTCCCAGGAGTCGAAAAAGACCCCTCCAACCACCCGCGAAACGCCCTTTCCAGGCCCAGGGGGAGGGGGGAGGGGGAGGGGTAAACCCCTCCCCGAAGGGGAAGAAGAGGGGGTGGGAACAGAGAGAGCTCGCTAAACCACTCACGCCCAAAGGGCTGGTGGGATTTTGGATCCATGTTGGATGCCTCGCCGGCCCTTATCGGAGCCTTTTGAGGGGTTCACGGGCCCTCTGAAGGAGATTTTGGAGACCACCGACCAGAAAGGGAGAAGGTTTTAAAGGGCGCCTCTTTTGGAGGCCGAATAAGAATTCTTCACGCTTCGCGTATCCCCACCAGCCCATCTCAAAACAGCAACTCTAGCGAAGCATGCCGACAGTCGTGTTTTTCAGGCGTGTTTCCGCCTGCCCCCGCATATCTCCCCTGTTCCTCCTTCCTCCCGCCTCCTTGTACATCCTCCTTGTGGTGGGAGCGGGAGAAGGACGAGGCGGAGGAGGAGGGAGAGAAAGCGCTCCTCGTGGTTTGAGTCGTTCGGGCTTCTCGTCCTGGTGTGAGTCGTTCGGGAACCGGAAGGGGGGGGAGTGAAACAGGGAATACCTTAGACGCCAACGGTTTTGGGAGTCGTGTCCGAATGCGCTTCGAAATCTCGATGCGAGTCCAAGCTTTTTCAGTCCCTCGACGGCACCAACGCACATGCACGCCTTCAACATAGCGCCACACATCACAACAAGCCATCGTATCAAACGGAGCGCACGAAGCACATAATATCCGTCTATATAGCGTGTTTGCGTACACTATGAAGTGCATGCAGTAGTTTTGGCGCAGTTTGGCGCAGCAGTTAAACATAGTCGGTGTACGTTGGCGAGGCCGTTCCATACACAATACACATACATACACCTATACATGTACCAATATCGATTTAATATATACATATACATATACATATGTGTGTGTATGTGTGTCTGTGTGTGTGCATGTATGTGTGTCTATATATGTGTGTGTGTGTGTGTGTATATATATATATAGATACATATACACACACACACACACACCCACACACATATATATATATATATTAAAATATAATATATATAAATATATATATATAATATATATATTATATATAATATATATATAATATTATATATTAGTATATATTTGTGTGTGTGTGTGTTGTGTGTGTGTGTGTGTTGTGTGTTGTGTGTGTGGTGTGGTTGGGGGTGTGTTATGATATAATATATTCTATATTATATTATATATTATACATATATTTCATGTAAAGTCTGAAAGAAAGAATAACAGGTTCAATATTTGTAAACGTTTGTTATTTTTCGTGTTATTTTTGCGTATATTGTTTGCAATAATTGTCATCGACAGGTTCCTTAAACTTATGTTGGTCATGGTCTTAATTCTCCCAAAATTTTTGAAATGTAGGGAAAGTTTATCGGTTGTTGTAAAATCGCGTTTCAATACGGACGTCATAAAGCAACAGAAACACCCAAGCAATTTCAAGTAAGGAACATATTCATCAACATGGCGTTCAGAAAAGATATTCGGTGCAGCCATGCAGATTTTTTATTAGACAAACCCACAGCAGTCACGAATGCATTGCCATTTTGAATTATGAAAGTTGCAAAACGCATGATATAAATGTTATCATAAATGTCGGAATTACGAAGTGCAATCGCTTACGTTTTGGGCATTGGAATTTTGCGAGCAAGATTATATATCGAAAGTAAGAAAATAGCAGAAAACACTCATTGCCAGTATATTGGCAGAGACAGGTGGCGAGATTTTTTTATATATATATATATAAAATTATTTGAAAATAATACGAAAACACATCAGTATTCGAAAGTTGCGCAAATTAAAAGAAAAATATAAAAGAAAAACCAAACATAAGAACTAACATTAAAACATATGAGTTTGCCCTTTCCATTGACATTAAAATTGTTTGGAACAATCAGAAATAACCTAAAAAAATGTTGCAACATTTCATCGCGTGTCCAATGCCCAATTCATCACCATGATGTTTCTGAATGCGTTTCGACATAATCTCGCATTCATGATGTATGAATGTTCTTGCATTACAACATTCGCAATCAAATTCAAACAACAATTTCAAATTCGATGTTTTTGTTTTGCCGTTCGAAATTTCCCAAATTTAGATTCGTTGAAATCGATCGTGTTTATCATAAATTAACGGAACATAAACAAAATTCGATGTCGTTCCAACATCGAAATTAATTTCAAGTAAGATTATCGTTTATATAGATGGTAATGTCTCTATTTTCCTGTTTCGCAGGTGTGGGGTTATTTTTTTTTCGTAAAATTACGACCACAAAAATCACGAATCTCGCCATTTTAAAAACAAATATATTTAGTTCATGCGATACACAACGAAGAATAATATAAATTATTAATCGATTCAGCTGTATTGAAATGATATGCAATGATAGTTGATGAACGTCCCCGCATTACATTGTCAACATAGATATTGAGAAAAACAAAACACATCTTCTTTTGTTTGCAGGGTTCTGTAACACCGACAACAATTCTTGTTTATGGATAGAATAAATGATGAATGCAACTTTTAGTTATATCTCCTGTTACCGGCGCTATAAATGGAACAAGACATTCACGTTTTTGCACACAAAATAATATTACAATGTATTTTTTTGAGTAAAAAACACATGATTATTTGGAAAATTAGTTGATTTAAACACGCATATGCCTTTAGACAATCTTTGCATTTGTCGCAATATGAAATAACACACTTTTCATGACACATTGATTTGGTTTCGTATATAAATCTTTTTTGTTGGATATAACGTCTTGGGCGTGAAATTTACCCCAAGCGTGTTCCCCTCACTTCTGTAAACGATATCCTTCACCTGTGTCATTCCGTATGGTTACACCAAATTCAGTCTTACAGTAAAAGCGCGTTTGCATTTGCAAGAGCTTGCTAGTCATTGTATTCTCAGTCAGGGTAGTCAATTTTCCATTTGCGCAGTTGTGGGCCTTGGGTGTATTTTCCTGAATGTCGATTTTCGGAACCCTTTCGGAAATAATTTCCGAAAGGTTTCCGAATCCATAATGAGCCAGGTTGTGCATTTCTCGAGTCATTGTAGGTGAGTGTTTCGGGCAGCCGTGGGGCCCATGGTCGAACGTGACAGGTCCCACAGCTTAGTCTGAGCCTGTAGGTCCACTGCAGCCCGCCGGCAGACCATTTGAGCACATGTGCGCAAATGGTTCTTTGCCTTTTGAATGTCCATTGTAGTGTAGCAGAGCATTCGTGCATGCACGAGCGTGGAAGCGCTGGGCTGGCAGCGCCGCCGGTCTTCGGTGGCGAGCCAGCAGAGAGATGGCGTTTCGCCGAGATCCAGACCGTGGAGCGCCGAATCGTGCAGGTTGGCGTCGAGCGCCGCAACGATGTGGAGCTTCAGCAGCAGATCAGCACCTATGTGGCCGGCATCGTTGACCTCCAGCAGGGCAGGCATGAGCTGGAGACCGTAAGTATGCGCTTGAGGGTCACTGAGGCAGGCGAGGGACGGCCTCAGGCTCGAGTACGACGGGCCAAGCAGTACTTGAACCACGAGAAGCGCGAGTACGAGCAGCAGATCGGTCGTGCTCGGCATGCGGCTACCACCCACATCCAGCAGGAGTTGCAGCAGTGCGTCGAGGAGCGCGACGCTGCGATGGTGCGGTCCAGGGATGTCCACAAGGCAGAGATGCGGGTCTTGGATGCCGAGGCAATCACGTCTTGGTTACAGGTCGTGCTGAGAACGAGCTGCGGTCTGAAGTCGGAGCGATTAAGAGGGCGCGAGACACGCTTCAGGCCGAGTGGACCGAGGCGACCGAGCAGGTCCAGAGCGCCGAGGCGAAGGTGCAGCAGAGAGGCATCGCAAAGGACCAGCATTTCGAGCGTCTCAAGGCGGAGGCGAGCGACCTGAAGTTCAAGTTGCAGGAGGAGTCCGAGATCGCGCAGTTGGCGCGGCGGCGGCTGACTACACGTGCCCAGTCGTCGGACGATCAGCTGCGCGGGGAGCTCAACGACGCGGCCATGAAGTGCGAGATGGTGGAGGCCGAGGCGTCCAGGCAGATCGCGGCTGCGTGGGCTGAGTGCAACGTGAAGGTCGAATCAGCTCAGCACGAGGAGCGGGAACACAAGCGAGGCGCAGATTCGGCCAGGGTGAATTTCTACGCAAGCCAGGCTTTGCACAACACCGAGAAGGAATACTACGAGCACGAGGTCGACGAGTTGCGCGCCGAGTCCCGCGAGTTGAGGGACGAGAAGGCGGCCTTGGCGAGGGCGGCCCAGGAGCTGATGGACATCCAAGCTCCAGGACCGCATGAGCATGAGTACGCCGAAGGCCATTGGGAGCAGCAGGACGACATGGATTTCGGCAGTCGGACTGGACCAGTCGATCCAGGACCTGCGGTCCCACCAGGACTCTCGAGGCAGTCGGCGGCAACGCCGGGTGCATCGTCCCAGGACGCTGGCATCGCCGCAGCCATGATGGAGTTCATGCGCCAGATGGCCGACCAGCAGCGTGCTGGGGTCGAGGAGCAGAGCGCGCTGCTGAAGGGGCTTACGCGCGCCCAGGAGAGCTTGGCCGAGGCGCAGCGCGAATCCCAGTCGAAGCTGAAGCCAGCGAAGCCTTCGCTCACGGGCAAGGATGCGAGCACCTTGAAAGTCGAGCTTGAGAAGTTCCGCACCTACCAGAACGAAGCGCGCCAGAACAGCAAGGCGATCTGGTTCGAGGGCGCGAGGGCCATCGCTGAGGGCACCGCGAAGATCGAGCTCGAAGACATGATCGTTACCGAGATGGGTGGCGAGGAGGCTTTCCAGAAGCTGGTTCGTGTTCGGGACGATCCGCGATGGGACCTCTATTGGTCTCGCTACGAGCGCAGGCTGAAGCGGGCCGTCCACCTTGACGACGAACGCGAGTCCAACGAGGCGGTCCGGCGCTACAGCAGGTTGTCCTTGCCAAAGGACGCGAACCCGGAGGGCGTTGCCAAGTTCTTGAACGAGTACACGGGCGTCAGGACCGACATGCTGAAGTACGGCCTCCTGACCGATGACGCGGAGAGCCCGATGTTGATGAGGGAGATCGAAGAGTTCAAGACGAAGATCGAAGGCAGCGTTCTGTTGATCTACTTGATGGACCTCCCTACCTTCCCGAGGCGCATGGCCATCCGCGAGGACGAGGACAGCAGCATGACCATCCTGGGCCGGTGCCGCCAGTATGTCAGGGCACGAGCTCGAGTGGGGCTCCAGTCGTCCGAGACGAAGCCGGGGCAGCTGCTGAACACTTCGATCGAGCCGAACGCGAAGCGGTCGGCCGCGGCCAAGAAGGAGGCCAAGAAGCAGGAGGAGGCGAAGGTGGCGAAGGCCAAACAGATCATCGAGAGCCTGCAAGGTGCTTCAGCGGCCTCGTCAGGTTTCCCGTTCCCGCCGACTCCGACGGCGCAGCAGCTGGACAGCCGGTGGAGGGCGGCCCGCGAGCCAGACAAGGGCAGGTCGAAGGCCGAGGCCGCGCCGCGGGCCGGCACAGGCGACTGCCAGCGTTGCAAGGGCACGCACCCCGAGTGCTCGGTCTGCCCGAATCAGAAGGCCAGCGAGGAGCAGGGCTGGGACGTCACCAAGGCGGTGAAGGACGCCATCCCATGCTGGTACAAGCATTTGAACAAGGGCCAGGCTTGCGGAGGCATGGGTCACCTCAGTCGCCACCACGCCCTGTGCTACACCGAGAAGGGCGCCAAGGAGGCGGAGGAGTACCTCAAGCAGAAGGCCGACAAGGGTGGTGGCAAAGGACGAGGTAGAGGTGGCGAGCAGGGCGGTGGTAAAGCGAAGTCCAAGGGCAGAGGCGGCAATGCCCGCTTGCTCACGTTCGAGGGCTCGCACGCCACTGACCAACAAGAGCGGGCGGACCGTGCCGCGAGGCTCCTGGCGTCGTTGATGACGATGGAGACCGACAACGACATCGACAGCATCGGGGGCGAGGCCAAGTCCAAGAAGCTGTCTGATATGAACCTTAATTCGAGCGAGACCTTCGACTCGGACTTGTGGGGCCCAGCTCGCCCGCGCAGCTGGCTTAGGCGTACTTTGTCTCAGGTGCGCTATTTCACGGGGAAGGCCGTCATGTTCCTCCTTGGGTTCGCAGCCCTCCTGCTGGTGATCGGGGTCATCGCTTGCGGCATTGAGAGCAGAGTTGCCAATTCGCCCTCTCCGCTGATGGCAGCAGCGGCGAACCACGAGCTCGTTCGCAAGGTCGGTCATCTTTCAAGCGGTGGCTCCAAGCATATGGTCTTGCAGGTGTCGGGCGGATACAATTGTCGAGCCTTCACGTGGATAGGGGAAGCGAGAACTGAAACAGTCTTCGATACCGGAGCTACTCGCAACTCCATAGACCGCGACTTCCTGAAGGCACTGCTCGAGGAGCCCCGGACGTCCAACTTCGTCGAGGACGTGGAGGCCATCGAGCCAATCACCTGCCGCTCTTTCGAGCGCGGCCAGACGGTGGTGGTGAACCGACTCGCTACATTGAAGGTTTCTTTTCGCGAGAACGGTGCTGTCGCCTGCGAGACGGTCAGCATGGGGTTCCTTGTCGTGCCGAATTGCACCGAGGACTTGCTCATCGGGAAGCCATCCTTGGACAGGTGCGGGTTCGTCTCCGACCGCGACTCCATCGAGCTCAGGTCGCTCGGGGTTCGCTTTCCGACCGTGCTGCCAGGCGAGCAGGACGACCCGAATACGCATACCTTCCTGCGGTGCTCGGACCACACTGTCGTGGAGGCGCCGCCTGGCCAGAGCATCGTGAAGACGATCTCGATGCGCGCGCCGCCGGAGGCTCGCTCGAGCAGCCTTTGGATCGAGCCAGGTCCTGATCTACCCGACCATTGCCAGGTCATCGAGGGGCCGCTGATAGTCCAGAACGGCACCTACAACGTGGACCTGATCGTGCACGATCGCGTGCATCTTGGCCCTGGTCAACGACTACTTCGCGCCCGTGATGCCACCCAGCGCGACTTGGACGTCCTCAACGCCCTCGGCAGGGAGGAGTCCAGACGGGCGGCGGAGATTTATTCATTGTGGCAGGCTCGAAGCGAGGCCTATTGCGACTCAGAGGTCGAGACAACTGCCAATTCTGCTACGTCGGCAAGTACTTCGACAGAGGCCCAGATGCTGAAGACGTCCTACAAGACTCGTGGCAAGAAGGAGCGCCACGAGGTCCTCTTCCCCGACCTGGTGAAAGAGATCGAGGAGGACAAGAAGAAGCGCGCGTCGGAGGTCAGCTGGCCGAACCAGGAGTCCGAGGCCTACAAGGACGAGGCTGAGAGGCAGGCAGGCCCTCTCCTGGGGCCGCAGCTCACGGGGAAGCAGAAACGCCGCTTCCTCACCAAGGTCGTGCGTGCATTCACGTGCTGTCTGTGGCTGCCCGGCTGCAACCCGCCGAGGGTCAAAGACTTCGTGGCCGACATCAAGGTCAGGCCAGATGCGGTGCCGAAGGTCACGCAGCCGTTCCCCCTCAGCAAGTTCGACGAGCTCCGTTTGCGCTACCACGAGGACGTCGAGGTCGAGGAGGGCAAGGCACGTTGGCTACTTCCAGGTGAGCGTTCAGAGTGGGGATCTCCTTCGTTCGTAGTGGACCAAGACAGCAAGGGTCTTCTCGGGCGCCCTGTCAGGGACTACCGGTACCCCAACAGCTGCACCGAGGAGGAGGCGTGGCCGAGCTCGCGCGCCGACGAGTGCCTCGCACGAGCTCAACAAGGAGCTCTACATACGCAGCTGGACTGCATCTGGGGCTTCACGCAGATCGAGCTCGCCCCCGAGGCGCAGAGGGCTTTTACGTTGCTTACCAAGCGCGGAATGCTCCGACCTTTGGTTTTGTTCTTCGGCGCCAAGCAGGGGCCCGCAATTTTCCAGAAGTTGATGGACTGGACGTTCGGGGACCTTCGCGGTAAGGACGACGAGGAGTTCCACTCGGTGTTCATGGACGACTGCGCCTTGTCTACCGAGGCGTACGAGCACGACGCCGACGACGACGTGGTGGACCGCCACATCGACCATTGCATTCGTTTCTTGCAGGCGGCCAAGGGCAGGAACATTCAGTTCAAACTCACGAAGTCCAAGTTCGCGCACGAGTTCATCCATCTCTTGGGTTTCAAGCTTGGGCGTGGCCTTCGCTACGTGGACCCAGGCAAGGCTGACAAGATTGAGAAGTGGCCGGGGCCCAAAAGCATCGACGATCTGGTCAGCTTCAGGGCTTACTGCAACTTCGTACGCGAGTTTATCCCGAACTTCAGCTCGTTAGAGACGCCGCTCAAGAAGTTTATGAAGAAAGGGGCTAAGTTCGTGGACTACCAGAAGGACGCAGAGGCACAGAAGGCTTTCAACGTGCTCAAGCGCTCGCTCGCCCGTGAGGTGGGTCTTGCCACGCTGGATTACTCCGCGGCAGCCGACCCGAGTTCCGGTCGCCCCATCGAGCTGTACGTCGACGCCTCGGACATCGCATGGGCGGCTACCCTAGCTCAGCGGCGCGAGAAGGACGGTCCCTTGCGCCCAGTGGCCGTAGTCGGTCGCGGCTTCAACGCCACCGAGCAGGGCTGGGGCACGTTCGAGCGAGAGCTCTGTGGCCTCAGGGAGGCTTTGTCTGCCACCCATCATTTGACAAAAGGGTTCGTTGTAATAGTCTACACGGACCATCGGAATAATATCTTCACCGACTCGCTGTTCGCCAACAAGCGTATCTCCAAGAAGCTGTTGCGCTGGGCCCTCGACCTGGAGGACTTGGGCTCGCGGGTCGTTCGAGTTTGGCTGCGAGGTGAAGACAACGTTCTGGGCGACGCCCCTAGTCGCAACCCCGAGGACAGGGACATATTGCATACTCTCCGAGTTCCTGGTGGACCTGTTCGTCGAGTCATAGAACAGATGTTCACGGCGCCCACGAGCGCAGAGGAGCAGGCGCAGATGGATCGGTTTCTCGAGGAGATCGATGGCGCCCCAGTCAAGCCGAAGTCCGGCAAGGTCGACGACGAGACCCAGAAGGCGAAGTTCGCCAAGGTAAAGCCTGCCGAGACCGATGACGCGGTCCCAGCCACAGAACGGATGGCTGCTCCCTCTACTTCCTCTTCTACCAGGTCGAAGTACCATGTCGGTACAGCGGGCCCGATGTCGCGTGGCACCGCTCCAGAGTATCCTGATCGAGCTGCAGACGTCGCTGGCATGGGGGATGCCGAGGCTGATGATCAAGTCACGTGGCCTTCCTCACTCGATCAGATTGGCACCGACGGCGCGGACTTGGAGTACTCTGACTCTGAGCCGGAGGCTTACGCCGGCCTTCGGCAGTCCGTGCGCGCCTACGCGGAGGGCGACCCCCAGGTCGAGGCGAACCTCTGCAAGTTGGTGGCCAGCGTCGTGGACCCCGAGCGCGACCCGCTCGAGGTTCGCCCTGTCTTTGTCGACACGCACTCGTGGGACGGGTCTTATCCGCGTCACCCCCTGGTGACATTCCTGCCAGCGGCCTCGTCCGCCGCGGCCGGGCCTGAGGAGGATCCTCGACTCCCACGAAACCCGCGAGTTCTACCTTACCGCATCACCTATGTCAAGGACGAGCGCGGCGAGAATTTCACCGTCCAGTACCGGGCGCCGCAGGTCTGCAATGACGGAGTGTGCAGGAAGACCATCTGGTACAGGTGCAAGCCGAACGGGGTCGCCGACGGCTCCGAAGAGGCGCTTGCTGGGCGGAAGAAGGCAGAGAACCAAGCATGGGCTCATGTCGAGGCTGTGCTTGCGCGTCCCACCGAGTCCGTGGAGGTGGAGCCCGCTGTCGGTTCAGGGCCGTTGTCCGGGACGGGTTTCTTCCGGCGGCACGGCGATCCTTTCGAGGGCT